GAGAGAGAGAGGGAGAGAGAGAGAGAGAGCGCGAGCGCACGCACATCAGGGAAATTGCATGGACTTTTGAAACCTCAAAACCCACCCCAGAGACACACCTCCTCCAGCAAGGTCGGTCGTGTCTGCTCATCTTTCCCAAACAGTTCCACCAACTGGGGACCAAGTATTCAAACATAGGAGCCTATGGGGCCCTCCCCTTCAAACCACCACAGTACTAATTTGATAATTAGATGCTGAGGGAAGATGGTAGGAAAATATTAGGAACTCTTTTTTTAGAATAATTACAAATAATTACGTAATCATTTTATATAATTAAACTGTTATGTTTCTGTAGGAACAGAAATGTTTGTTCCAGGGAAAAGCACTTTAGAGCACCCAGTAGTCTGAGCGGAGGTATTTCAGGCAGAGTTCATGGTGTCATAGGTCACAAAAGCATGCACAGTACAAACTGCACGTGTTCAGTGTTTAAAGCAAGGTCCCAGGGACGTGGCTCCATATGACTTGGGTGGACCTGTGCTGCCAGAACGCCTTGGATTAACTGTGTATTTGATTTTGAGTTAATGTTCCGTCATCACACATTTAAAACCCTCTTACTGTTGCCAGATTTGTGGTGACTCCTATGTGACCCTTGTGTGATCTTGTACAGGATAGAGATCCATAGGTTAGGAAACTGAGGGTTTCTGTTAATTCAACCATTTATATGGAAAGGATGAAGAGAGAAGGTCAGGGAGATTACGAGAGAGATCAAGGTTAATAGCAGTAACGGACGGGAGCATCCTTGTGCTTTTGAAGTTTGTATTTAATCTGTATGGGTGTTGTACCTGTGTGAATGTCTGTGTTCTATGTTCATGCTTCATGACATACAGAGACCAGAAGAGGGTGTTGAATCCCCTGGAACTGGAGTTATAGACAATTGTGAGGCACCAAGTGGGTGCTGGGAATCAAGGCCAGGTTCTCTGGAAAAGTAGCCATAGCTCTCAACCACTGAGTCTCCTCTCCAGCCCTCCTCCTCCTCCTGTTTTTTGCTTTCTACCTCAGGCTAAGAAAAATACATAACCCTCCAAAGACTAATTTAGTTGTCTCTTCTATAAGATTTTGTTAAGTCTTCCTTTTTGTTCATTCTGCTAATGGAATGCTTATTGCATCACGAGCTGAAGACCAGGTGTATTTTCACTTATGTCGACTCTTTAACTTCTCAGAGAGTTGATGGTTTTATTTCTGAAGAAGCAGCCTCATGCTAATAATAAGGACATTATATAATAAACTGTGCATTTAGTAGCTATTACAATGAGGATTGCAACTCTGAATTCTAGCACTCTGTAATAGGCTGACCATGAACTTGAAACTCTGACTCGGCCTTAGTGCTGAGAATAAGTAGTTTAATTCCTTTGCTGTACAGTGGCAAATTACTTCTCTGGTGGAAGGTAGAATAGTTGAAACTGCCAGCCGTCTGTAGACTATGTTGACACTTGCCTGTAATCCCAGCACTTAGGTAGTAGCAGGGGGTTAGGAGTTCATGGTCATACTCAGCTACATAGCAAGTTCAAAGCCACCCAGGGCTCCCTGTGACCCTACCTTTTAAAACTAGAGTCTGGAGAGATGGCTCAGCGGTTAAGAGCACTGGCTGCTTTCCCAGGGGAGCCGAGTTCAGTTCCCAGCACCCACACTGGGCAGCTCAATGCTGCCTTTAACTCCATCTTCAAGGTATCCAATACCTTCTTCTGGCCTTCTGACATCTGTATTCCTGAGCACAAACCTATGCACATAATAAAAAAATAAAAATTTTAAAGAAGAAAAGAGCCTGTTTTGTCTCATTTATTATGTAGGCTTGATCATATACATTGATCAGTGATTGTGTGACATTCAGAGTGAAGAGAAAAAGCCATTATCAAGGATGGGGAAGCCTGGTAAACTGCAAGAATTAGGAGTCTGGACAGCTAGAATGTAAAGTTTAGCAAATGGCAGCCCAAATCCCATAGAGAAAGGCCAGCCTGGGGTGAATATTGAGAAGCTAGGTAATAGTAAATCTGTTTGTTTGGTCTTTTGCAAAATAATTGGGCTTGGGGAGATGATGGCTTGTAGGCAGAGACAGGGGCATTACTGGGACTTGCTGCCTTCTAGCCTAGCCAAGAAAACATGAACCCCAGCTTCAAGGAGAGACCCCTCTTCAAAGGAATAATCAGAGCAATGGGGGAGGACACGCATGCCCTCTTCTGGCCTCCACACACGCACATGTTCATGCACACAGTCACGCACAAATAAATTTTTTTGAAGTTGCAATTAGATGAATCATAATGGACTTTGACATCCGATACTTGACTAGATGGTTATAATTTGGTTGTCCTCGAGGACAAGAAAGGGACAACACTTGGTGTGAACCTCAGGTGGTGGTATTGAAACAAGTCACCAGATGACAATAATGAAGTCATCGGAAGCTGAACTTGAAAGGGAGAGCTCTTCTTGGTCTGTATGCTCGCTGCTTTGGTGTTTCTGGGAACTGAGCTCGGGCCTCTTAATCATGTTTGCATGAAGGTAGACAAGTTACGGTTTAGAACGGCAGACTTTCACAGTGGCAGCAGGAAGGAGAGCAAACAGCTTGTCCAGGGGGCTAGAACATTGGCAGTGTCCTGGTGATCTCTGTGCGGTATTTGTTACAGCTTGGCCCTTCCAGCCATGGGCTTCTTACCGTGTTTACAGTACTAAACATGGATTCCCTCCCGTGAAGCAGGCCTCAGATCATAGCAGAGAGCACTTGGTTACCGCCGTGACAGACTTGCCACGGTTGTGTGTCCCAGTGGGGACATTTTAATGATCAGATCAGTAACGTCACATCGCAAACCCTACACCTGAGTAAGACTACAGGTAACAGTCCCCCAGCAGCCTGCATAACACCGTCCAGCACTGGAGGCTAGCCAGCAGGAAGAAGCAGCTTCCAGTGCCAGCCTGGTTTCTCTTATGTCCTGTGACCAGAGACGAGGGTGTCTCCAGCAGTAGAGTCTTAACTGTCTGGTTCTCATGGACAGCAAGAGCAGGGGCAATTGCCTGTGTTACCTGTGGGCCTCAGAGACCTCCCTGACCAGTGATAGTTCACAGGAAGCAGCAGCCTACTGCAGACTCTGGGATTTCCGTATAATAGCATGTGGCAGATAGGAGCAGCTTTATCCACCCACACAGGTAGAGCAGCTTTTGAGAACAGCTGTGTCTGAGTATGGAAGAGCAGAATAGTCACATGGACCTCCAGCATGTACGTTCATCAGCTGACAGTGTGTTCCACATTGCTAGTCTGCAACCAATCTGGTTTTGTCCAATCCGGTGGTTCTCAACCTGTGGGTCGTGACCCCTGGGGGGGTTGAATGACCTTTTCACAGGGGTCACATATTGTATCCTGCATGTCAGATACTTACATTACTACTCATAGCAGTAACAAAATTATAGTTATGATATAGCAGCTAAAAAAATGTTACGGTTGGGGTGATCACACCATGAGGAACTGTTTTAAAGGGGCGCAGCCTTAGGAAGGTGAGGACCACTGGTCTAGTGCCTCTCACACCCCACTACCTTAACTGGATTATTTTAAAGAAAATCTGAGGCAATTACCAATTCTTCAGGAAATGTTTTATGTGTATAATTGTAAAAAGGCTTTCCCCCCCCCCCACCTCTGGCAGGTATTTTGACGGTTACATCATGGCGACCATAGAAGAAATCGCACACCAGATTATTGAACAGCAGATGGGTGAGGTATGTCTAGTTTACCGGTAGCTCACTTGCTGGCCTCCCAAGCTGTTGTTCTTCATGCTACATGTCTGTATTGGGTTGTGGACGTTCCAGATGGGAAGATAGCCAGCTCCCAGATAGCTTTTCTATGCAGTGAGAAGTAGTTTAATAACTGCAATAAGATATGCTAAGTACCGTGACTTTAATGTATATGGTGCCATGGAACAGACATATATACAAAAGGTTTATAACAATAAAAAATAAATGGAAAGCTAATAGAGAGGTGTAGGAGTGGACTCTGATCAGAGAATGTCATTTGGGGGTCAGGAAATCTGGACCAGTCTTAAATGACTACATCCAATTTTTCACAAAAAGCAACATGTGTCTTAGTTTGGGTTTCTGTTGCTGTGAGGAGACACCATGACCACAACAACTCTTATAAAGGAAACATTTAATTGAGGGGGCAGCTTACAGTTCAGAGGTTCAGTCCATCATGATAGGGAGCATGGCAGCATGCAGGCAGACGTGGTGCTGGAGCTGAGAGTCCTTATATCTTCATAGACAGGCAACTGGAAGTCACCTGGCTGTCACACCGAGTGAAACTTGAGAAAAAGACCCCAAAACCCGCCCCCCACAGTGACACACTTCCAACAGAAGGTGTGGCCCAGATTAAAGGTGTGGCCTCCAGCCTCAAAATCTGAATTAAAGGGAGTGTCATCCAGCCTCCTCCAACAAGACCGCACTTCCTCCAGCAAAGTCACTTCTCCTAATAGTGCCACTCCCTGTGAGCTGATGGGGGCCGAACACATCCAAACGACCACACTATGGCATATGTTTTGGGGGTTTTATCTGAAGTTTGTGACATATTACCCCCATAGACATTGTTAATTTTGACTCTTCAGTGTGAACTATTTTGACCATGTCTGACTTTTTGAAGTGATTTAAAAACATTGGGGCATATCAGGCCTCAGAAGCATAACAGTACCTCTTCTTAGGGACCTTGCCCGGCCTCCGTTCACTGTAGGAAAGAGATGGGCCCTGTTATTACAATAGCACCCAATAAAAACCAGTCTTGGGAACCAGGGAGATGGCTGATCCACATCGAGGGCTTGCCACTAATCCTAATGACCAGAGTTCAATCCCCAGAACCTGTGTGGTGATGAGAAAAAAACCAACAACTCTCGGAGGTGTCCCCTTACTCCACATGCCTGCCATGGAGTGCATGCACGCACATATGCGTGCTCACACGAGTCCACGCGCACACACACGTCATGCACACATACACAATAATAGGATAATAATAACTAGGATGGGATAGTTTGTGCTAAAAACATAAACATCCACATAGATCAATCAAGTTGTATCATAACCATCTACAATATGGTTGGTAGGGTTCAACTACCTCATAGACGTCAATCTTATGATAGTAGGAATGTGATAGTGAAATAAAAATTAAATCTTCCTCAAGATGTTAGTAACCATAAAAAATATTACTGACATGTCAGCCTACTGACACATGCCTATAATCCCAGAACTCAGGAGATAGAGGCAGGAGGACTTCAAGTTCAAGGCCAGACTAGGTTTAAATAATGGTGGACAAAATGATTAATTTTAAGAAAAATATGAAAACATCTATGACTTCCTAAGACAAAATACATGTTTCTTCAAAGCTCTGCCTGCCCTGTGCTAGGTTTTCCATTTGTATATAATGTAACTCCTGATTCCACGCTGCAGCTAACTTTTGCAGAGCTACACATCATGTTTTGGGACGGTATCAATGGACAATTTCCACAATTCAAGATGCTATTAAAATATTTCATTCCTTTCTACACTATCTATGTGAGACTGGGTTTCCTTTTTAAATTTGAACCAAAATAATATATTCTAATAGACCAAATGAAAAAGCAGATATGAACTTATAACTTTATTAAATCAGACATTAAAATAGTTCACAGAAATGTAAAACAACATCGCTCTTACTATTACATATTCAGTGGAGAAATAAACTTAGTTTCCATAAAACATTATTTCCTATTAGTATATGAATTTTTTTAAATGAATAAAGGTTTTCTAATTATCTTGGAAATTTTATGATGCCTCCTCCCCCCGACCCCGTTTCTTCATTTTATTCCCAAAGGACAGCCAGGGTAAAGCTAGAATATGGCCCCAGGCCTCAGGAACTTCCTGCATCGGGTGTACACCAGATCCTCTGCTCTGTCCCAGCAGCCCACTGGTTTATAGACAGGCTGTCATCCAGGCCTAGGCTCGGGCAGGGGTTGGGGAGACCTAGCCAGAGCACATAATTGTGAGTCCAGATATAGCAAGACGTGTCCTTCTGTTACCACGGGCTCCTCCATAAAAGCCTACAGCTTTCCCCTGATGTCATTCTAGCCCATATAAAACTTGGTAAAGTTCCACTTGAGAATGGCATTTCTTGACACGTCCCTCCTCTTGGGCTGGACCACTTCTAAAGATGATGGGGCCCTTTCCATTCTCATTGATCTTGGTGTGTATGTCTAATTTGACATGAGAGCTGGCTCCAGACTTAGAGAGTATAGAGGGGTCCTGAGACCGGAGAATTGCTTACCTAATTACTGTTCTTCTCCATTGAAGTCCAAGTTTATTGTTTTTCTTCTTAATTATTCTGTTACACTGTGGTAAATACTCCTTTATCGACCTAACGTTTCAACCCAGTGACAGTTAGATCACTCATACATATATATTTGTAGATAGAGGTTTGCCAAGGGTGTCCTGACCCGCAGGTTGAGAACTGCTAAGTGAGAAGTAGTGAAAGAAGGGAGGGACCAGAAGAGTGATAATCAAAATCGAATCATCCTGCTATTGTAGTTTATTTCTTTACTTATTTTGGGTTTTTTTGAGACTGGGTTTCTCTGTGTAGTCTTTGCTGTCCTGGAACTTGCTCTGTAAACCAGGCTGGCCTCAAACTCAGGAATCTGCTTGCCTTTGCCTCCCGAGTACAGGGATTAAAGACATGTGCCACCATTGTTTGGCTGGCTGTACTTTTGTTTATAAATTTCACACATGCTCTATTAGAATTTCATTAGAAGGAGAATTGCCATTTAAAGGGTGTATAACTGGCTTTCTAGCTTTGTTTTGAGGTTAAAATTGATGCATTAAAGAAAAACAAAAGCCAGATATAGTAGCACATCCCTAGTACTTAGGAGGCTGAAGCAGCGGGTTATGAGTTCAAAGCCAGTCTGGCTACACAGCCAGCCCTGTCTCAAAAAGCAAGCACACATGATTGAGTTGGATGGGTCATTAGTGTGCCCTGGTGTGTTAGATTGTTACAGAGCAGCAGACCGAACAGAAGATCCAGATCGTGACAGCACTTGACCATAGCACCCAGGGCAAGCAGTTCACGCTGGCCAATCACGAGGGCTCCGCCCCAGGAAAAGTCTTCCTCACAACGCCAGATGCCGCGGGCGTCAGCCAGCTGTTCTTTGCCACTCCTGACCTGGCCACACCGCACCTCCAGGTAAAAAAAAAAATGTCATTTTTCTCATCCGGGAACAACTAGCAGAGGATTAACGGGAAAGTAGATCTGAGGGAAGAGCCCAGAACTCTGCCGGCGTTCTCATAGATGTACCTGATGATGAGCTCCTCATACAACTCAACAGGGCCGCCTCAGCCCGTCTCAGGAATGGCCAGGTCTGTGGGTCTTTGTGCAGCAAGCAGTCATACTCGCATAATTATGGCTAATCATATTGGTAACATTTATTTGGAACTCCCTTTCTTTTTAAAAAGTCCACAAAAACTATCTTTGTATGCTGTCACTTTTAGGTGTGGAGGCAGCAGGGGCTCATTTGTGTGACATCGGGTGTCACTGTGTAGCCCAGGCTGCTGTAATTCAAGATCCTTGTCCCCTAGCCTCCCAAGTGCTGGGGCGGCAGGTGTGCACCACCAGGTCCACTTTTGTGTGTGTGTGTGTGTGTGTGTGTGTGTGTGTGTGTGTGTGTGT